TGTTTTGGGGGGTGGGGTAGTTAGTTAGGGGTGTCTCTCTCTCTCTCTCTGGTGCGAGCGCCGTTTTTCCCTGGTTTTTTTTTTTTTTAAAGAACTCCCGATGGACCACGTGTCAGATATCAAACTGATCGAAACAGATATTACACTTGCTCGTCGTCGTTTTGGGGGGTGGGGTAGTTAGGGGTGTCTCTCTCTCTCTCTCTCTCTCTCTCTCTCTCTCTCTCTCTCTCTCTCTCTCTCTCTCTCTCTCTCTCTCTCTGGTGTGCGTGGGTCAAAGGAGGGTCCTCCCTCCTACGTCCCTGTTCCCTCCTACGTCCCTCTTCCCTCCTCCGTGCCACCTCCCTCTTTCGCCCCTCCTCCCTCCTTCGTCCCCCCTCTGCACGAAACACAGTTCGTTTTCCCCCCCCTCCTACCATCCCTCCACCCTCCTTCAGCCCTCCTCCCTCCTTCGCCCTTCTTCCGCACAAATTAAGTTTCGTTTTTGTTTTTCCCTCCTTGGTCTCTCCTCCCTCCTTCGACCCTCCGTGCGTGCACACACTCGTGCGCTCATTTCACAGGCCGGGCGCGCATTTCGTACACGCATTTCGTAGGTCGCGTGTTCAAGAACGGAAGAGGAGGGAGGAGTGAGAGGAAGTTTGGAGGACGGAAGTCTGCACAGAGAGGGGAAGTTGTGGAAAATGGAGTTGGTGACAGAGGCTCGGACAGGAGGGGGTACGGAGGCAGGCAAAGAGGGGGGCAGGAGAAAGCCAGAGAGAGGGGGGGGCGGAGGGGAAGGCATGAGGTTCTTGGGGGGCCAATGCTACTGACCTGTGTCTCCCATCTTGGAGCGGCGTTCAGGCGTCCACAATCCTCCAACGCATGCCAATCACCGGGCCCACCACAGCTCCCGGCCAACCACAGTCCACAGATCACCGGTCCCAGCACATCCATGGCCGACCACAGCAGAGAGAGAGAGACAGAGAGAGAGAGAGAGAGAGAGAGAGAGAGAGAGAGAGAAGAGGGTTTATCCGTGTGTGTGAGAGAGAGAAAGAGTGCGTGTGAGTGTGTCCGCGACAGAGCCTCAAAAAAAGCATGACTGTGCCAGACTGTTTCGTCGGACTTTCACCGACTCATCAGGAGGTTGAACCCCGGCAGTCTGCCCAGGATGCATTTGACTGACGGATAAGGACTCACCACATCGCCCAGAGTTAGCGATAACCCTGAGAAACGTGTCTGAGAGAGAGAGAGAGAGAGAGAGAGAGAGAGAGAGAGAGAGAGAGAGAGTTTGTCGAGCTCAGGGCTCCACGACACGGCGCAGGGTGCTTCACGACATGGTGTATGCGCTAGAGGGGCGAAGTAAAACTGCGCGCGACACATCGGCGAAAGTTGGCCTACACGCTTCGCACGGACGCTTCGCGACAGCCTGGGGCACCCACAGCACTGTCGCGGACTGAAACGGCCCGTTGAAACAGTAAAAACGTGCGGCACTCTACGGCGCTAAGATGTGGGCCTTCGGTCCGGTAGCACCCAATGGCCTGGATCTCGGCGCGGTCTTAAGATCTTAAGACCGCGTGGAGATCCAGGCCGTTGGGTCCTACCAGACTGACGGCCCAGATCCTAGATTTGTTACATCGTTCCGCAGATCTGGGCCGTGGGCCGGTAGGACGGACGACGGCCCAGATCGGCGATTTGTTACATACTGCGGGATTAGCAATTTCTATAGTGTAGGCGAAAAAAAAGATGCATTACCACAAGAAGGGAGATCAAAGGGCCAATATCCCCTGTGCATCCATCCTTGTGGCGGACTTGTGCAGGGCGTTATACCAAGTGTGGGGCCGTGTGCCAAAATGTGACACATCACACCAAAAATAGTAAATAAACAGAGAGAATTGCAAATGCGAGGAGTTTAAGCCCTCGGCATACCTGCATTTGGCCCTACGGCAAGCATGAGCCCGCCCTAAGTAAAGGTGGCCCCGCGAATCTCAATGAGGCCTGAATTTGTCAATTTTGCAAAGCCTTGGTGGGCGCCAGACAGTTGCCACGTGCCAGTTAGTTACATCCACCCTGCTCGTGAAATTCAGAAACATCAGAGAGCCTTCCGGGCTCTTCTGGCAACACAGTGGAAGCAGGGATCACCTCACGTTTGCGCTTGGGTGGTTGGGCAGGCCTAACCAATCTGGTCCGAGGCAACTGTCTGAATGGGACTGGGTGCAGACACTGTGGCCCAAAGTGAAGCTACTGGGCACATACACACCCGGTCCAGGCAGAATCGAGCCTGGCTGCATGTGGGGGGCACATGCATGTGCATGCGGCAGCACTGCTGGAGCTTTGGCTAGCGCGTGCTGCGTGCTAGCGCTGTGCAGAGGTAGTGCGCGGTCGTTAGAGAGAGAGCAGTGCAAGCAGGCAGCGCCATAGCTCAGTCCTCCATAGCCAGGCTGAGCTTGGTCGGTCCGCAGGGATCGACGGCGGACCTTGGTGTTAGGACTTGGAAGGAGAAGACGACGGTGAGCATGTTGAGGGCGAGTGGGGAGCGATGTGAGAGCACGTACCTGGTCTTCGCGGAGGTCTGCATCGTCAACATCTGCAGATGTACTTCAGTTGCTGCTGCTGACGTCAACTGGTTGCTTTGTCATTTCATAGGCTAGCTTCGTAGCTGTAGCATTGTAGTCTGGGTGCTGAGCGCCAGTAGGGAGGAAGAGCTTTGAATACTTCATTGGTGGTGGCGAGCGAGGGCTCTCATTGACAATTGAGTTTGCTGCCTTGGTTCTCCTTCAGTGTGATTTCAGTGCATTTCTGCCTTCTGGACAGCTTACGACTATCTGCCTTTCAGTGTGATTTCACAATCTGGAATTATGTCATTTCCATATTGCCCATTTTCCTTGCACAGACTTTGAAAAAAATAAAAAGCCCCCAAAAGCTTTAGAAAAAAAAGACATTTTTTTAACGACTTTTTACTAAGTTTTTAATTGACAAATTCAAGAACAAGTCTGAACCACATTTTAGAACATCATCCCAGCGAGAAGTGGTTCGATATAAGTCTTTAGAGTGTTCACACCTGTTCTGGCTTTCATCAATTGTATGTGTGTGTGGTGTGCCAAAAGCTTTCATCACTTTTACATGCACGTGATGGGCCAAAATTTTCATCACTTTCACATGCACACGGTGCGCAAAAAGTTTCGATCCCTTTTATGTGCACATGGTGTGCCAAAAGCTAATTCTGTTATCGGATAAACTTGCGATCTGTTAAACCACTAGTACCTTTCCCGCGTGGGAAAATAGGGAAAACTGGCTACTCCTGAAAATTCGGAGGCCGGGCCCGACGACAAACGAAACGACAGCCGCCGATCAGATTTATCAATGGCCGTCGTTTCGTTTGTCGTCGGGCCCGGCCTCCGAATTTTAAGGAGTAGCCAGTTTTCCCTATCTTCCCACGTGGGAAAGGTACTAGTGGCTTTTAAAAAAAAAATGGAATGATACAGAGAAGATTCGCATCGCCCCTGCGCAAGGATGAGAACGCGCAAGTATCAAGTCTACAAATTTTCTTTCTTCAAAAAAAAAAGTTGCTATCGTGTTAATTCAACCTGAAAATGGTGCCCCACAAATGCCAGCTCTGTCACGCGATCGTCCACCATACTCACTGTTGCACATGCTAGCATGCAGAGAACTTCAAGCTTCTCTACCTAGCCAGTAGTCCCAAACTTTTTCAGGCTTGTTTTCAGAAAGTACCCCTTGTTAATCCTTGCCCATTAAGCCCACCTTTGATCCCTTTTCGTACCATGACCATGCTGCCGACGGCACGTCTTGAATGCTACTCTCCAATCGCCACCAGATCTTCCGTCTGGGACCCAGCTCTTGCGAGCCCTTTGGCATGCGTTCCCGGGTTTTCGGGTAAAAGACATGACCCCTAGAAGTCGCAAGAACAGACAAGTGAGTGGTTCACAAATGAAATACTGCACCTGAATTTGTCAGAGCCCCCAGACAGGTATTGCGACCTTCCCTCGTCTCCCAACCAGCCCAAAGCTTCTGTGCGATGTGCACGTGTCCCATTCTTGCTGCGTGCCACGCTCACAACGGACATCGCATCCCAATCATCTTGAGGCGAATCTTCCCTACTGCAGACACAAGAGGCAGCAAACATTAAAAGCGCCACTTCAGTAATGGAGGGGATGTGAACTGGGTCGCGTACAGCATCCAGTGTTCAATCGCACTGCAACTGGCTACTTGACTCATCAAGGTTATCTTTGGCATTGATACACTTTTTTTTGTTGCCGGAGTTAAAAGCACGGTTCCAAGAGGTAACAACCGTAATATACATTTTACTTTTTTGGATATTTCCAGGAGTTGATATGACTGATTTTATTGCCATTTATTCATCTCAGTGCATGGTACCTGGCCTTGAAATTGTACTCCCACTCGGAGGCTGCATCCCTAGGGGATCAGACTGGCGGGAGAGGCCTATGCGGGGAGCTGCACTGTTTTCAGCAGGACAGTCTTGAATCGTGAGTGCAGAAGCCATTCACATCACAGTGAGAGGTTTCCAGCTGCCACTGTGCAGCAGCGGGGTAGATGCCATGACTACTAGTATGGCACCACTTTTGAACATCGCCTTACATCTGCCGCAAGGACATCTGGTAGTTAGTTGTGCCAGCGATCAGTGGTTTGATCCCCTGCCATGTCGCTAACAGATCCAACAGACTGACTGGAGCAGCATCCAGGACGTCCTTCACCATCCACAACCCAGCTCACCTGCATTGCATTGCATTGCACATTTCCTTTAAGCCGCCAGTACTTTTGACCCTTCCCTTGCCGAGCCTGGAAACACCCTGTGGGCCAAAAAAAAAAAACGAACCGGCGCGGTGTCGCACTTTTTTCTAGTCAAGCCTCTTCTGGCGACCAAAAAGCCAACAGGCTGTCACGCAAGATTTGGATGATGTTTGCAATAAATAAAATAAATTAACTAAAGCACATCCCTTCCTGTTGTGTGCGTTCAGCTCCAAGCGAGACCCTTCAATTGCAGTCTTCGTCGGTCCCCAGTCTTAGGAATCTTTTATTTTGATTCCGAATAGCAAGGAATCATGCAAATAATAATCATAAATTTCTGGTATATCATGCATGCATCAATTTTGCCAATTTTCTAATTCTGAGAATTGTGAAAGCATCATCAGAGAACATGATCATCAAACAAAAGCAGAATAGACGATACAAGACTGACTGACTTGAGCAACAACAAGGATAAATGAGGGAAGAATGAGAACTCATAATAATCTCAGAGAGTACACATGAAGAGAGAATGGCCAGCACTAGTCAAGAGTCCTCACTCATCCCTTTGAGTTACACACTCGACCTCTCATTTTGTCGTGCGCTTCTTGTGTTTCGAGCCAAGTCTTCGTACTCTCTGAGGTTGTGGTCTTTGAATGTAGAGCCACCTGAACCCTGCAAGCTCCGAACATTTCCAGCAAAGTCTCATGATACGGAAGTCGGCCATAGCACAGAATTCTTCCCATAGAGTAGGAATATATGGTTGAGAGAAGATCCCTCGTCTGAGATGTCGAAACTCTGAAGGCTCAGTCACTGCCTCATAATGAAAATCCCGCTGCAGAAGAGATGTACCTCTTTGCCAAATCCACCAGATCACCCCAATAAGAACCATCAGTGAGAGTAAAGGGAACTACTGGAGACTTGGGGTAGTCCGTGTAGAGCTTCGGTCCGAAGAAGCTGCAAATCAGCTTCACTCTGCTCTCGTCTAGCTCTCTCGCTTTCCCTTCAAGATATGTGGCTGTTGAGATTCAGACTGCGTCGAAGTGCTCATGGGTTTCTTTGCCCTTCTTCAAATAGACCCTCAAGTCATGGACGGTACCTCCTGCGAACTATGAGCTACATAGATGGATAGGTCCTCTTGTTTGAAGCCGACTGCACTGACATAATGGTGTTGGAAAGCATCTTTTGAAGCAATCCTGTTGAGCCCGGCGAGAACAGCCTCCTGGACTGAGAACGACTGGACTGCACTCATGTGCAGTTGCTGAGTGTTGAAACTGACTCTCGTACCTTTGGATGAATGCAATGTCTAATTGATACTGATCTCTGGCGTAGATAAAAATGACCAAGCGTTGACTAAATATTGATTGAACACTGATCGAGTACCGCTGCTTGAATGATGCTTGAAAATTGTTGGGGTAACAAGTCACTTAGTGTCGAAACGTTGAGATTACTGCAAACTACAGTGTGGCACTTGCTGATTCTGATGTCCGTGGGGATCTCGAGAGAAAAGTTTGGACATCTTTGTGTTTACCCGAGCCTCGCCCTGGTCTTCTCCACGGTCTCTAGCAGCGAGCCACTACTGTGTAATTTGTCATCGTGACCATAAAAATAGATTACATATTCAATATATTTTTCTCTTTTTACCATTCACGCTGAGCTTTCCTACGTGATTCCATATCTCGGCACGCCTCTTCCTTCCATCCCTCTTTCTTGTCGCTGTTTGATCTGTATCTCAACACGAGGACCTAATCCTCTTTCATAATTCCTTCAAACCCCGCTGGATTTAGGCAGTGAATAGAATGGACTCCAGATAAGCTTAGTGAGCTTTGCACACAGAGTAGAAGACTGTTCCAAAACTTGGGGTCGTGGAAGTTAGTCCAATCGTCCAATCGCCAAGTATTCCAAACGTTAGCTATGTGCCATCACCGTTTCAAATGTTGAAGCAGGCTCTGGTCTGCGGATTAACAACAGACAATATGGGGAGGGAATCCGACACGAGCGTACAATGCTGGTTCACAGACCGACCGTACCCACGCTCTGGTGTCGATATCTGAAGCTTTACTGGGTGCCAGGCAAGCTTAGTCCGATTGGGACTATCCTCGAAACAAATTAAAAGAGGGAGAGCAATTGTTGTCCTTGACAGTTGGTTCATGTAAATACAAGAGATAGTATTTCCTGAGGGCTGTCGTGCATAGGAAGGCGTCGAGTTCGCGATAGCTTTCTCAAGCTGATTGATAATTATTCAGTCGGGGATTCATTATGTCTCGTCCTGCAAAAAAAAAATAAGCGGATCTGTTACCCGCGGCGTCACCAATCATAACATTATCTGCTCCGGGAGATGTCCCGTAGAGGTCCGGAACGTGCTGCCTCAAACCGCACCTTTCACTCATAGGTCACTCCCTTCCACTTTCACGCAGTCTTTCGGGAACGAGTAGCGCTATGCAGTTCCCCAGAGGTCTGGACCTGGCAAACTTCTCGCCTGTCCCCAGAGAGACGTGATAAACGTGACATGGACCTCTATCGTGCTCTACTCAAGGGTACACACGTGCAGACACGCTCTGAATTGGGTGGTCTGGATTGCTCTCGAAGCCCTGACTGAAAGTTAATTGAGTGCCCATCACCAAGTCGCAGTAAATCGTGCCAGCCGTCTTAACAGGCGTCCTTTTCTTTGCCTCGTTCGCTCGGTACTTAGCAAGGTGAGTGTTTGATGTTCGTTTACTCGGCGCACACCGAATAACAATGTTATAGGGCCTCGAGTTTGTCTTCGTGCAGTGCGCACTTCGCTGATCACTCTCGTTTGTGTATATAAATTTGGAGCTGCTGGTCTCAGTTCCAGCTACTTACACAGTGCAGGCTTAGCTACTAGACATAGACACTGTTCATGTAATGTGCAGGTCAGCCCCAGCAGTAAGCCCCGATCGGATGAGGCACACGGCAGCCGCTATTTGGCGCAGACTCGGTTAGTGTCCAGCACAGCAAGTTTGAGTACAGACGCAAGTGGTTCCCGCTCGTGGACGGCGCAAGCACCGCAGTGTAAAGAGCTGGACTCAGCCAGATGTTCGGTTAAGCGAATCAAGCAGATTTAAATAGTGGTTAACAGTGAATAGACAAGTGAACGAAATGGCAGATGTCAGGAAGGCTTAGGATCAATCTGGTTTAGCACGAGAGCGCTACATTCGGAGTCTGTCTCTTCCATTTGAGTTGCACTCGCTGAAATTCAGTATAATCCTCACTCAGGGTTTTACGCAAAATGATATTAGCATCTTCCACTCAGATTCCACGAAGTCAGTGTACTGAACAAGGCATCAGAGGTGGTAGCATCACCGGAGTGAGTCTTTGACCGCCGCATCCAGCTGGCAACGGACCCGGCTCAACTAATACACAACGCATAACGGGTGGTGAACTCCACCCGAATAGTACGCCGGGGACTATCGATAACGAAACACATGAGGGTGACCCTCCCCCCTCGAATGCTGCTTGTCGACAGATCAGAGCTCCCATGAGACATTCAGGTAATGACCACGGCACAGAGTAACTCGGACCCGGTTCCTGCTCAGGGTCTCACTTTTCAGATCTGCCTTTGCATTGCTCAATCTCCACACAAGTCATTTCATAGAGCTCAATATGGCAACAAGTTTTGCTCTCGCACCAAGCAGGTTCTTAATCTCAACATACGTAAAAAGATTGTGGACTAGGTCAAGTCAACAGCCCCTTTTCATTGAACAGCCCAGTGTCTTGAAAGGGCAACACTAATCTCCGTCCATTAGGAACTCAGCGAGCAAGTATGCAACCTTCCTAAGAGTGACTCACTTCTTTCCCATCAGGCAACAATGGCTAAACGATAAATCAATAATGCTATTACTTTATGATCTACTCCGCTTCGAGGTTTTTGCACCTTCGGGGAGGCAGAAAAATCCAGACTGTTAGGCTAGAGCTTCATTAATAAGCAATATAAGGGTCAGTGCTTATCACGAAGCTCGCCGAAGTCGATCATCGACCTCTCGCTAGCGACGTTCAGAGTACAAGGCACTGACAGCTCATAATTTCCTCAAGCCAAGAATTCAAAGCAGGGAGGAGGAGTTCATGAAATGGACAAGGATACACGAGAGTATCTTATCTTCATGTATGCTTCCTTCAGTACCCTCGCCAAAATCCCATGGAGATCGACATCATTCAATTTCTCCAGGCCACCACTTCTGAGCCGAAGAGAAAGGAAAATTCGAAGAAGGTCGTGAGCACACAGTAGGGCCAGGGGAACTCGGCCGCAAAGAAGAAAATTACCTCACACACAAAACATTGGAGTGACCTTAACGACTCAGTTCAAAACCAGGCCAACCAGCGCTCGTCTGAAGAA